GGCTCATGAGGTCACCAACAACATCAGGGTTTGGTTGGAGATCAGCCGTTTTGTGTCCAACGCCGCGACGTCGACGCACTCTCTTTGTGGGAACGAGAGAATCGATGGTTCCCGCTGCGCGCGCCTCTTCGTATTGTCGTACATTGAGACCGTCGTCAACCAAAGACTCACGGCCATTATCAATCATATCGTGATCTCCCTCCGCAGTGGGAGAGATAAGTGTTTTGCTTCGGTATACGCCCGTGCGGTCCAAAACATCATTGTATAACTTTTCATCCATAGCGTCTTGAACCTCGTGAACCGGTGAACCATCAATGTCATAAATCGTCGAAATGTCTCGTAACAGGTGATAGTGAAGTGCCAATTGGCCACGCACAATCTGGTCAAGAGGATTGCCGTGATCAAAGCCAACAATGATCTGTGCACCCATTTCTGCTTTGGGTGTGAGCCCAGGAGGAAGCATGTCAGACTCGAGACTTTGTAGAGGATGCGAGTACACTCTTCCGCCAATTCTGCGACGTCCCTCGAGTACAATGACGCGTGGTGCAGTGTCGGCATCACGATAATGACGGAAGAGTCCTTCTAGCTGTCGAGCACAGCCCAGTCCTCCTACTCCACCTCCAATAACCACAATAGTGGGCCCTTCTTTGCGTCTACCTCGCCTGGGAGCGACTGGGGGTGTAGGGACCTCCACGCACCCGAAATTGATGTATCCGTTCCGTGACAACCAATCGTATGCGAAAGAAGCCAAGTTCATCCAACGATAATCTTTGGCACATCCTATCGCTTCTTCACGGGTTATACTGACCATGGGATTCACCGTCCAGAGCCGGAGAATCCCATTCCGAATGTTCAAGTAGAGTGTGACGTGCACGTGGCAAAGTTGATCTTGCAATGCTTCCTGTTCTTTCCTGTGTAGTGCATAGGGGATCTAGCCGAGATGCATATGCCGCAGCGACACACTGTTGAGCATAAATAGACGGCGCGAGCCTTGATGGAATGGAACTTCGCGGTCGACATTTCGATAAATCAACCTTGTTGCTCTCTAATATGCTCACTCCCGCAGTGTGCGTAGGGGTAGAGGTAGATTGTCCAGGTGTTGTTGGAGGCGATGTAGACTTCGCGGTTTGATATGACGAGGTAAGGGACATCGAAGCGGTGGACTCGTTGGGAGTAGTACTGCTCCCATATATATCGCCCTGGATATTGCCATTTTTGTAAGGCCCAGTCAGCCCAGGAGGAGGTGGCAGAGTGCTAGAACTGGCAGTCTGTGTCTGCTCCTCTACGGGAAATGATTGATGAGTTTGGGTCAGCGAACCGTCAGATGTTCGAAGCCGTTTTACAGGTGGTTCGGAAGCTTCGAATCGATCTGGCATAGTCTGCCTTGTCCCCGTTGAAAAGAAAACATCATTTTGAGCAACTTGACTGATGTTTCCGCTTTGGTTGGGGGGTTCTCCCGATATATCGTGGTAGGCCATTGGTGCCGAGCCGTCCATGTTCAACGTCGGCAGATTATATGATGGCGCCCTCAGGGAGGAATGGGAGGCGGAAGGAGAGACTGGATGGAACTCCATTTTCATCTACCAGATAGAAGACCCCGTAGATCTTCAAATGATTGGTGATGGCAAAGGATACCACAAGAGGGCCGGCAATACGAAACCCACGCGAATTGAATATCAGGCGTCACCACAGCCACCGATGTTCAACCATGTTGAGTTGTATCGAGTTGCATATAAGAGAGGCAAGAATTGTCAACGACGGAGTATATCTATATTTCGAAATTAGACACATGTAACATCTAGGGAGATGCGTGGTGATGGAGAGGGGCATCCTTTTTTCATCTTCCTTTTTCGGTCCGGCATAGATATTGCACGGGGAAGAAGCGAGGGGTCGGGGGTACATACAAACCAGAACAGCCAGTCGACTTCCCCCAGCAAGTGTAGACCTCTCGCTGATTAAGAATCCGACTGGCATCAAATCGAGGCGACCCAATTGGCATGCGCGAAGGGAGGGGTGGATGGCAGGACTTGGAGAAGTCGCAAGTTCCTCGGGGCGCGTATTTCTCAGTCCGCTTCCGGCCGCCCTCGGTCTCCTTCACTCTTGACTATGAGGTATGCAGCACTGTCGATGGAAATACACCTCGATCTGATCTGAGATGGTACAGTCTATTATCCAAAAGATCACTTAAATATGATACGATGCAAAATTTATTCTACTCGCTATTTCAGGCCTGCCGCCCAACGTGGCTATGCAGCCCGTACGTCTCACTGGCATCACCCACATACTCGTCCGAGTCATTATCCGTAAACTCATCATGGTAAGACCGTCGGTTGGCCTTCTTCTTCCACCGTCTTGATCGGTCACCATCACTGTCACTGTCATCCCCGAGTGCGAGATCAACACGGTCATCGTCATGCTCAAACCCAATGCCCTCCTCTTCGTCCCGAGCCAGCATTATTGCAGCCTCATTCGCATCATCATCATCGGAGAATCTGCCATGCGGCCGATTGGCGGCATGATCGGACTGAAGAGACCCTCGGATCTCGGCGCGCTCTTTCTCCTCGAGTTCTTTCGCACGGGCCAGTGTCCTGCAGGAACAAACGGATTCATGTTAGCCAAAAGTCATCACAAAACGTGGGGAGGGAAACAGGAATAGAAAGAGTGAAAGGAATGACCAACCTGTTGTAGATATAGTATCCAGTGAAAATTCCAATAGACACCGTAACAAAAATACTGATGATATTTATGGCCTTGGAGCCTGAACTCATTTCCTCGCCCTTCTCGGAGAGAAGTCGTAGGCGACTCCCCACAAACGCCGGCACAAGCAACTTTGGAGAAATGATCGCAGTGGCCAGTCCATACATCAAAGGCTGAACAGTTGGAACTGTAGAAATAGCTCCGTTGCAAATCGAGTAAGGCAGCGGACATAGACGAATCATGCAAAGAAGCTTCAGGCCGTCATACTTCAAGGTTAGCGACAAGGCGGCAAATCGCTTGTCACGTTCCATGAGGCGGTTCACAAATCCCGAGAGCACAGTACGCGATACATAGAATGAGGCGGTGGAACCGAGAACGGTTGCGGTCGTGTAAATAATCCATCTGGTTAGAGAATTGGGAGGTTAGCGTGGCTGCCGGTTTCGATCCGGGGAAGATGCGCGCCAGGGTCCAACAGGGTCCAGCGACTTTCGGCTTTTAGCTTACCCTTTCCATAGACCAAAGATAAAGCCCGCCACCGTTCCAAAAGTCGACCAACCCAGCAATGGAGGGAAGGAGACGAAAAAGACGCAGAGCCATAGGACAAACGCGACCAGGAAAGAATGCTCCCACTTGTGGGCGACGGGACCCAGCCAGCCGAAGAGCTTGCCGGTCAAGATCATGAAACCAATTCCCAGTGCACCGACTCCAAAGGAGGCCGCGTAGAATCCAATCTTTTGCCAGAGGGTCATGGTCTCCCAGCGTTCCTTGGCCATGCTATAGGCGGCTTTGGCGCGGTTGATTGTGCGGTCCCGAAAGTTGGTGGCCTGGTTGTTGTTGGACCAGCGGGCGGACGAATCGCGTCTGGCCCAGGGCGCTTGGTTGTGTTCATCATCGCTGTTGGGGGATTCGAGGAGAGGATCAGGGGGCGAGTCAGAGAGTGCCAATGCCCGTGCCGTGGACTCATAGTCCGCGGGCATGGTGGGCAAAGAGCTTGGAGGGGAGGAGGGAGAGAGGGGGCAAGGTTGATACGATATTAATTGGGACAGGGATCAGATCCGGGGGAGGAACCTTTGGCGATCGGCGCTGTGGAGCGGAAGAGGGAATGGAGGTGGTGGTGGTGGTGGTGGTGGTGGTGGTGGTGGTGGTGGTGGTGGTGGTGGTAGTAGTAGTAGTAGTAGTAGTAGTGGTAGTGCTGGTGATGATGGTGGTACCTTGGAGTACTGGACGGCTGAGAAGAGACGTAAGTTCTAAGTGAAGAAGACAAGATGGAGAACCTCAGATGTCTCAAATGGCCGGAGCAATAAGCTGTCTTAAGGTACTCCGTTCTCCGTAAAAAAGGTCCACGGTGGTTACTGGGGCCCAAAGCGGATCCGCCGGGCCCCGAGGCTTTACCAGGCACTGCCATAGGCTGCTCCAACTCTTGCCATGCCTTGGGGTAGTAGCATTACTAGTAGTATTACTAGTAGTATATTTATTTACCTTTACCTTTAATTTTTATTCTGTACTTTAGTAGGGAACTCTAACCATCACACCTTTCCTCAAAGTTATTAAGTGCCGAATGTCCAAGATATCTAACTATTTTTGAGAATAGTGGTATGTGCCCAGGTGAGTTGGTTGGCTGGGATCTACAATTCCATTTATATTCCCATGCCCGATTTGCTTATTCGGCTTTTCCATACCTAGGTATATTTTATTTTATTTCACTGTTTTATTTTCTATATTTCACTTATTATCTCCTAAATCTCTAAATCCCCATCTATGAGCACTAAGTGTCTACTAAGTGTCAGAGGTACCTCGGGTGGGCCGCAGTTCAGCTGCACTCAAGACTCTCTTAGTCTCCAGTCTCCATCCCATCTACAAGCCAATGTTGATCTCCTTTCTCCGCCTCTCTTCCTCCCCCCCCCCTCCTTTGTTTGCGCACCACCTCCCTTTATCCTCCTTTGTCCTTCTTCTTTTCTGGCTAGGGTTACGATGTAACTAAGGCTGCCCTTCTTCCGATTCATTGCTTTTCTGCGCCTGCATCATCCCCCACCTCCCCCCTTATCGCCCGTCCTCGGGCCTCGACCTGCCTCACCTATTAGAGAATATGGACCCGGAACTGTGACTTCCAACTCCCATCACCAAAATAATTCACTCCTCCCATACGACCTTTCTCCGTCCAACGCTAGCTCGTTGTAGATCCCGTCCGATCTGCCATAAACCGTGAGAAGTTCGGCTTCATTCCGACTCCGTCGTTGTTCGCCGCGGCCGTTCAGCTTATTCCTCCCCCTTCCCGTCGCGCGCGCGCACGCCTCTACAACACCATGGTTTCGGAAGAACTTCTCGAGAAATGTCTCGAGATCTTACAGGATCAGGCTCTCGATGATGAAGAGCAAGTGGAGAAGGTGGAGGATTTTCTGCGGGCAAATACCTCCCTCTCCTCCTCTTCGTTGGAAAATGCGGTGCTGGACATCTTATGGCGGCATCGCAATCGCTCGCTGCCCGACTCATCACCTCCGCCTGCTCGTCATACAGTGATTCGTCGATCATCCCTGCCCCATGGCAGATGGCGCGCTCATCCACACCGTTATCGCCGCACTCAAATCTGGGCACCAGCCCCGGAAGTACCTCGTGGGTGCAGAGCTCGCGCGGGGCATTCTCCCGACCTCCGCTCTCCTCAACCGTCTCCCCATTTACCTCCCCACGCCCGTCTCCCCGACTGGCACTGGCACAACCAATACCCCACTCGCCAAATTTGAATGCATATGAGTTCTCCGATCAAAGTCAAATATCGGAATATTATGCAGATTTTGGTAGCGACAGCAATGTTGAATGGTTGGTGGCGGACGATGCGAATAGTGTAACTTCATCCACTGGAGGGTTTGGATATACTGCATCTTTGAGTGCTACCGCTACGGAGTTCGTACCAGACATGAGCCCGCATGACATTTTGCGCACTGTTTTGGGTGATAGGCGGTCCAACGATGAAATCGAAGCCGCTCTGGAAGCCCACAGTTATGACCTCGGGGCGACTATTGCAGCGCTTTCGCAGGATCAAGATACCGATATTTTTGCCAAACAGGATGATGGCCGAGTGGTGGTTGGGAAGTCCATGGCAATGGACCAAGTTCGCCCCGTCACGCCCTCAGGCCACTCTCGCAGTCCTGTTGTCTGCAAGTATTGGCTATCTACCGGGCAATGTCTTCGCGCAGATTGCCGCTTTAGCCATGATTTAACCAGCCATGTGTGCAAGTAAGTTTTCTTTCTGGTCATGCAATGATTCTCTTTTTACGATACTAATCAATCCCCGTTAGATACTGGGTTATGGGCAATTGCCTGGCTGGCGATGGGTGTCCGTTTTCACATGATCCCTCAGCTCTCATCTCCAACCTTAGTGTCGCGAGCGGCAGTCGACCAGCTTCCCCAGCTGCAGGCTCCCCCTTCCAGATGGACAGCGGCTCTGATGCTTTTCCACCGCTGCAGTCATCAACTGGATTAGAAGATCAATGGACGGGTCCATATGGCAGTCGCTATCCAGCGCACCTCTCTGGTCTGCAAAACAAGAACATCCCCCCAGGCCTTCACCCGGGAATGGGCCGACGCAACGGCAGTATGAATAATATAACTCGTCCGAACTCACGCCCAACAAGCCGCCATCAGAACCGTGAGCTGAACCCGACCGCCCTCTCTGTCGATGATCCAGATGCCTTCCCCACCCTTGCTGCCGTCAGTGCAAAGAATGCCGGCAAAAAGCATCATGGCAAACGAGGCGGCCACAATGGTCGCGATATCAATAAAGAAAACATTCCTTCCTCCATGGCAGATGTTGTACGCATGACACCATCTCCGGCTCCCAGCAAAGGCAAATCATCGTCCAAGAATGCCAAAGACGCCAAGGGCCGCGAGAACAGCGCTGCGGCTATGTCGATCGCGCCTCCGCAGAATATCCCGTGGCTCGAGACCGGAACGCGGGCAAATCAGCAGTATATTAAATATCGCACAGAGGCAATTCGCCACGGAACTGTTCGGAATAAATTCTTACAGAGGTATGTCTAATCACAGATTGTTGTCCATGAGGCCTGGGTTTTATTAACAAATCAAACAGCGCTGCCCAAGCTTGGAATCGGAATGACGCACGAGCTGCGAAGGCGCTATCACTGAGAGGCCAGGCTGAGAACGATGCGATGCGTCGTTGTCACCGGGAAGCTGCACGCCAGCTATATGAAGAGCGTAATCAGCATTTGAACCAGGCGGGCCTGGACGAATCTGCAGAGGAGCTCTATATTGATCTGCACGGCTTGCACCCAGAAGAGGCCATTGAATACCTGGAGAAAATACTACTCAAGCACGCACGCCAGGGACTTCGGGTTGTTTACGCGATCACAGGCACTGGCCACCACTCGAAAAACGGTAAAGACAAGATTGGAAAGGCCGTCAAAGCTTGGCTGAACGAATGGCGTTATCTATTCCGAGAATTCAGCGTGCCTGGCGAGCGCGGGGGATATGTTGGAGGTATCCTCGGTATTGACCCGACCAGTTATGATAAGTCCCTTGCTCGGAGTATGGCGGAGGAAGAATCGGCGGCCGCAGATATTGGCAACAACCTCACGCTAGGCAAAATCCAATTGCTTAGGCGGGAAGATTTAGAAACGCAAAATCAATGAGTTGGTGTGATATTCTGATTTTTTTTAGCCCGTGATGATGCGGCATGATACCCATCCTTTGCATTGCAGAGCTTGAGCCACTCACCTGCCTCGTTGTTTGTTTTATTTATATGACCATGCTCCCCTCCCAGCCATGTCTATTATTTTGAAGATATCAGTTACTTGGATAACTTTTCCCCAGCCGGCTACTTCTCCCTGGCTGAATACCCTGATAGAATATTGTGTTTCTCAACGAGCACGTACTTGATATTACTCTAGCCATGGAGGCATACCAAAGCATACGAGGTGTCACATACTACTAGTATAAGCAATGATAGTATTGAATACCTAGGTACCAATGAACAATTCACGTAACCTCAATCGAACTTGAACATTGAAACCACCCTCATTCATGCGAGATGTCCGTGTATACCTAGGTATTGACGGTAAATACTATGTTCATTGAATTCAAGTTCTTAGGTATCAACATCTATCTACTCAGGCTCTTGATGCTTCCACTGTTCCCGGAGCGCCTGAACATCGACACCAACAGCCTCGGCCTTTCTAACAATAGCCCTCGCCTTCTGCGCAACAGGCACATCAATCATCTTACCATCCAGAGTCCAAGCTCCGCGCCCTGCAGCAGCAGCTTTATCATCAGCAATCACACACCGCACAGCCCACGTCGTCTCCTCCTCCTGCGGCCCAAAGATATCATTCGCAACCTTCACCTGCGACGGGTGAATACACTGCTTGCCGTTGAATCCAAGTCGACGTCCATCAAGACATTCCTCTTGCAGCACAGCCGGTGGCGACCCATCCCCTTTCTCAGACTTGTATGTTGTGCAAACGAGATCGATTGTCGAGGGGAGATCGGCTGCGCGTGCGGCAGTCGCGATTGCCGAGCGTGCGAAGAGAAATTCCTTCAGACCTGGCGTGCGCGTGATACTCAGGTCTCAGGGCGAAGTCCTCGGCGGCGAAAACTAGGCCCTGGAGTAAGGGTGAGGCGCCGCAGATTTGAGTGAGGTTGGTGAGGGACTTGGCGGACTCGACTAGGGCAAGTAGGGAAATGGGTGGTCTGTTCTCGAAGTGGGGTTGTTGCGCGAGAGTGTGGGAGATGACGTCCGTTACAAATGTAAGATCGGATGCTGAGTTGACTTTGGGGATCACGATCGTTGTTAGGTTTGGCGATTGGAGCTGTGGTGGTGAAGTAGTTAGCATGTGTCTTTCTCCTTCCTCTAGCGCGCCCGCGCTCTTTAGCTATTGTATAAGCCGAGGAGTGATTTGTACGTACCACTTCTGCCAAATCGCCCAATGCCAGACCGCTGTCTACGGAGTTGATTCGCACCGCGCGTTCACGAATACTAGTCGGCGTGGGTTGGTCAATTGCTCTCCGCACCAGGCCGCGGGCCTCTGCCTTCATGTGCGGAGTCACGCTGTCCTCAAGATCATAGGCGACACAATCCGCCGCGAGCGAGCGGGATTTATCGAGGAAACGCTGGGAAGACCCGGGGACTGCGTGGAGGAGAAAGCTGGTTAGCTTCGGGTTGACAGCAGCGCGCATTAAAATGCGGGGGAAAGACGAGGTGCGTAGGCGGAATTACCGTATAGCAAGGAGCGGCGTAGGGTATTGCGAGCAGCCATTGTTTATGGATCAAGCTTAGTATGAATGTAAGCTCGCAAAGAATTGGTGTAGCTGGGTGCTGGCACTGGACGTTGTCAGTGCCGTGTGGGGAAGATGAAGAGCTCCGCGACCTCGGGATTTCCGTGCTCGGCGGTGATGTCAGAATCGGAAGTAAGAGTAGATATTTAGAGAACTACCACGAGCCTGGGTCTTTCTAAGAGTTCCCTGAGATAAAATGCAGTGTAAAAAGAAACAATTGAAAATCATTTAATTTGAAGCTTCTTGGGTATGTATTCTTGTAGCTCGGGTTGAGAAAAGCCGCATGTAGGCTGTATGCGCCCGGCTTATCGCCTTTTTGGACTTCTCAGGCCCGCCGTTCTGATATTTCGAATGCTACGATCTCAGCCCCATGGATGATGGCGACGTTGAATTTAGGTCTTTCGATTTCTAACAACATTGCTTGCCAATTCACATTTGACTCTTTATAAAGGATCAGTGGAAATGGAACGATGGGATTGAGGTTAAATGGCTCAAATTTCCCTTAAATCTGCCTTTCTCTCATCTCTCAACTTACATCACAATCATTCGAGTCTGCTTCCCATCGTTTTGCTCTCAAGCACGGCCTTAGATAACTTACGCGAAAGTTCTAGTCTTACCTTCGCTTAAAACCTTCAACAAAGCAATACAGAGCCTGAAGAACTATTTAGCATTGGCCCGCCTGAATCGCAATATTTACGTCCAAGAGAATCCCCTGGCAATCTGTCGGCGTCCCCGCGAAGAGCCTGAAATTTTCCTTGGTGCATGGTAGGGTCCAGTCACCTGCCCTGGGTAGTGGGTAACTGGCCTACTACCCCTGGTAGTAGTATGTAGTACTAGTACTATTATATCATGATGTCTTGAGGAATGCGCACGACGCCGAATAAAGTAATAAACACCTCCCCTAAAGTTTAACCAATCAAAAATTGGTATCCAAGAGTGTTTCACAAGCATGACGCGTGGCTGTGAATCCGAACTGTGGCGGGCTGAGCGGACGAACTATTAATCGGTGTATCACATACCTGGTGCACATACATGCGCATTGCCCTGGACTGCGGGGTTGCAACATTTTGTCCTCACCGATTCTTACTAAGTTACTCAATCATACTTTAATCTCTAGTATAAGCTAAATTGTCATAAACTTGAAGTCTGCTCATTATATTATCTGCCTGTGCAATGGTCTGGGCAATGGAAATCGGGATTGCGCTGCGACTGTTATTTATGAGGACGCTGTGCCTATCTGTGTGAAAATCGGCACAATCTGAGCTCCCCTTATTTCTTCTCCATCTCAAAAGCAAATTACTTGGCGTTCCTTAAGGTACATAGCCTCAGCTGCATAGTTGAAGATCTTCGAAAGTGTTGGATCATGCATATGAGGCGCAGTGGGTACTGTCGATCTCTTGGCCTCGAGCGGGGGTATCCAGGACCTCCCCAAACAGCTTAAATGTCGCGTTTGATCTCTATCGATACTTGCGACAGAAAATGTGTAAATAAGACTACCTTGACATCATATTAATTATCAAAAGTCGTATCCTTGTCATTCTGGCTATGATTTTCCCGGGCCAGGTCTACTATCTCGCCTAGATATGCCGAGCTGAATGCATTTTGACGAGTCTCCACATAAAAGCATGTCTCTCAAGCTCGCATGAACTAGTATTATGCTGTAGCACCTGAGGTTTCTACCCATAGAAGTGATCATCCAACATCATGGCAGTCGCTGCTTATGTCGATGACCTAGCTCCCATTTGATCAGTGAGTTCACAAGCAAGGGGAAGATATATAGGGAAGCTTTTGAATATAAATAGCCTCTCATTTTTCTTTTCGTTCTCCGGTTCTCAATTCGAGCTAAGCATTCTTTCTCTGCTAATTCGACACCACAAGCATGGTGCAGTGTCGCACTTTTTTATGGCAATTATGCCTCCTATCAATTCCTCTCGCATCAGCCCTGACTGTTCCTCAGAAGGTTCTGGCAGAGGGTAATGATGTGTCCGAACTCACGGATGATGAGCTCATGTTTAACACTACGGACATCAGTATCTCCTCTTTTGATGCCAGATCATGCGATAACTGGGATCCTACTACATGGGACTACGATGTAGCCATCGTTGGAGGTGGACCCGCTGGTCTCGCAGCTTCAATGTCCTTGGGCCGAGTAGCTCGGACGTCCCTCATGTATGATTCAAACGAATACCGCAACGGGCAAACTCGATATATGCACGATGTGCTGGGTCAAGATGGTAATTTGGATTGAATTTGAATTTGAATTTCCAGGGAAATGAACTGACTGTTTCTAGGTCAGGTTCCACTTAAATTCCGAATTGCGGCTCGAAGTCAGATTGATCAATATTACGGCGACTATTCCTTCCGTACAACTCTTGGGAGAAAAGTCACATATATCCAACCTCTCGCAAAGGGATTTCGTATATTTGATGACAAGGGAGGGAAGATCCTCGCCCGGAAGGTTATTCTAGCCACTGGAATCACTGATATACTTCCTAACAAGCCTGGATTTTCTGAAGCCTTCGGAAAAGGTCTATTCTGGTGTCCCTGGTGCGATGGGTTTGACTATAAGGGGCGTGCCATGGTTATCTACGGGAAGCCTGGAAAATTCGCCAGCGCAATTGGAGGTGCTTTGAATATGCGGAAACTTACAACCAATATCCAAATCGTTACTGGGGGGAAGCTTACGGACGAGGACAAGAAGGCCGCGGAAGAGAGATGGCCTGGATGGGAAAAGGTCATTAAGGGAACCTATGGAATCAAAGTGCACGAAGTCGACATCACCAAGCTTGAAAGAACTGCAAAAGGAAATGAGCCCTCAGATGACGAGTATAAACTCACTCTTAGCGGCTCCCCGAACACACTCGTCACCAACGGAATTCTGTATAGCACGGACACAAAGCAGACATCGGATTTGTACAAACAACTCCATTTGCAAATGGATGGATCGTCGGTCAAGGTTGCAACCAATATGGAAACAAGTGTCGGTGGCATTTATTCTGTTGGTGATGCCAACAATGACGGTAGCACCAATGCATACCATGCCATGTGGAGTGCAAAGCGTGCAGTGGTCAACGCTCATGGTAAGTGGCTGTGGAATTGACTATGCTATTGTTCGAGACTAACCTGATTAGTTGCACTGAGCAAGGAAGAATACCTTGAGAATGTCCCTGTGGTCATGGTCGCGGCGGAAGGTGGCGACGAGGAGTTCTACCAACGCCAAATCGATGAGCTCCAATGGACCATTGGCAATGATATCGAGGAGCTTTACAAGACCCTTGGCGCCTAAGCAAGTTCAGGTTCAGGTTCAAGCTCTAGTAGTGGTATTCAGTAATTTTTGAGCCAAGAGAGAATATGTTTGAGAATGATTTTCAGATTGAGATAACAATATACCTCTTCCAACCTGAAGTTTCCAGAGTGATAACTTACCAATGTCAAATCGCCTTGTGTAGCAAGTAGTTAGTACTAGTTTACTATTCCGTAGTACCACGTAGTATGGGTACTATAATTATTGCTGTCTCCACTCCATTCCGTGCTGGAGAGTGGAAGGTGGACCTTCCAGACCCCAACAGCCAATTAAGACGTGCCACCCTGTATATTCTGCCACCGCCAACAGCGTGCCTGCCGCGTGGTGAACATCAGGGAGATTCATCGTCAACAGCTTTACAACTCTCCGATACTAGCAAGAAGTCAGTTGATTCACGGTATCTCCGGGAGCTTCAGGACTACCAGATCCCTGCTATTCATCATGGATCAAGGCCAGCAAGGAGATCTAAACTGGCGCCTTAGTGCCCATCCCATCACCCTACTTGTCTTCTTGACCATTCGTATCGGTGCGTGCTGCAGTGTTCTCATTAACTGTCCATTGAACATCTAACTGATTAATCCGAATGTTAGGTGCCTTGTTGATGTACCTCTTTGGTCTCCTCTTTATCAAAGATTTGTATGTCTCCCCACCAGCGCATATTCCCGCAGACAATGAAAGAAGCCACCCCGCTAATTAGCTTCCACAGCATCCTCGTCTTTATCCTGACCCTTCTCCTTCTGTCTGCCGACTTCTATTACCTCAAGAATATTGCTGGGCGCCGTCTGGTTGGCCTGCGGTGGTGGAACGAAGTCAACACAACCTCCGGCGATTCACACTGGGTGTTCGAGTCCTCTGACCCCAATGTTCGCACGATCGCCGCCACAGACAAGCGCTTCTTCTGGCTGAGTCTCTATGTTACCCCGGCGTTGTGGGTTGGACTGGCCATCCTGGCTATTGTGAGATTGGTTGGCGTGATTTGGCTCAGTTTGATTGGTGAGTGTACCCGGTGCCTGGTTGTATCTTTTGAAGATGTGACAAGCAAGACCCCTATGCTAATGAAATACCTGTAGTTATTGCCCTGATCTTGACAATCACCAACACTGTGGCATTCTCTCGATGCGACAAATTCAGCCAAGCGTCGACTTTTGCGAACCGGGCCCTGGGTGGGGGTATTGTGAACAATCTTGCGGGTGGCCTGCTGGGCAGGTTCTTCCGGTGATCTGGGCTGACTGGAAGTGAGGATCCAATGATCTGCATTTTTCTTGTGCAATAAGACTACACTCATGTTCAACAATAGTATCTGTCACCAAAATCTGGGAGTGTTTTGATACGTTCAGCCATGCATTTAAATTAGTGACCAATGACACCACGTTTTACACACACCACGTTTGCACTTGAACCTGAACCAATGGAATTTGAAATCAGCCGCAATCAGCCGGAATTAGACTGAAGGTCAGCCGAGGCAAACTACCTCAGAGTGAGCAATCGGGGTTGTTCCAGATCCAGTTGTGTACATTAGAGCTTCTCCACACTTTTCGAGCCTCACACAACAGGCACTCCAGGCACTCCAGGCACTCCAGGCACTCAAGGCAGGCGCACGCTTCCCTTTCCTCCAGCGACACCATCCTCTCTTCCCTCTTTCTCTTCTCTCCTCTCCTTTGTTTTCTTTTTCTCTCTGCGCATTTCAATCTGACACTCACATTCATACTCTTTTCAACATTCTCACCAATCGGTACGAAATACCTCTTTCCCGACTGTCCCACGGTAAGTGTCTCTTACCACTCCAGCCTCGATTTGGTGAGACCGGAGATACCAGAGAGCTTCACTTGACGATGACCTCCATCGCGTGATTACCTCACGGAGCTCCAGTTCCCGTGTCTCAACTTCCCTTGTCTTATCCTGTCTTGCTTTCACGGATATCCACAAGCTCCGCTACTGACTCATTCTAGCATAGCTCACCAAATCGTTCAAAACAACGATAATCACCATGTCTGGCTGGGGACAACAATACGAGGAGGGTGACGAAGACCAGGGGCTCAAGACCATCCATGGAAACTTCAACGAGGATGGGAAAACCTGCCGCAAGTGAGTCGTTCAGAATCGCTAGGCAATGGCATAGGCTAATCGGGGGAAACAGCTGTGGTGAACCTGATCACTTTGCACGAAACTGTCCCAATCAATACGGCAGTGGAGGTGGAGGAGGTGGGGGAGGCGGACGCGCATGCTTCAATTGTGGCGAGGAAGGGTAAGCCATGTAGAGTGAGAGTTGACCAGGCAGACTTCGCGCTGACACCAACTTCTACAGTCACAACAAGGCCGACTGCCCCCAACCTCGAAAGTCAATGGGCGCGTGCTACAACTGCGGTGAAGAAGGGTATGTGCACCAAGTGGAGATATCAACCAAGTTTCCCGGCTAACCACTGGCGCGATAGGCATTCGAAGAGCGATTGCCCTCAGCCTCGAAAGTCGATGGGCGCATGCTACAACTGTGGGGAGGAAGGGTGAGCCGCCTTCATTGAATCATCTCAAGCGGAAGTTAATTCAATCACACTAGCCATTCAAAGAATGACTGTCCTGAGCCCCGAAAGGCAATGGGCGCATGCTACAACTGTGGGGAAGAGGGGTGAGCCACCGTCGTTGGATTGTCTCATACTGAAGCTAATTTGATGATATTAGCCATTCAAAGAACGACTGTCCTCAACCCCGAAAGGCAACGGGGGCATGTTACAATTGTGGGGAAGAAGGGTATGTTTCATACACGTGGATTTCCCAATTCCATCATTCCTCCGCACATCTGACACAGATCATAGTCACAACAAGTCCGAATGTCCGCAACCTCGCGTTTTCAAGGGAAAATGTCGTATTTGCAACCAAGAGGGCCATCCAGCGGCTACTTGCCCGGAAAAGCCGGTGGATATTTGTCGAAACTGCAAAGCTGAAGGTAAAAAATTCCTCCTCCGGATTACCCGTACTTGAAGAAGAGAAATCCTTACATTTGCGTGACAGGCCACCAGTCGAAAGACTGCAAAGCGAACCGCAAGTTCGACTTAAACCAGGTCGCTGATAAGCTTCCCGAAGAAGCTTGGGCGATGATGAAGGATGCAAGTGATGGGAAAGAAATTGGCGATTTCAAAGAGGTAACAAGGCCCATTAGTTTCATTTTGAATTTTGACATTTGTTGACACAATCACCCAGGCCCTCCAAATCTACGCCAAAGCGTGTCCAGACGAGACTTTCCAGACCATCGGCAAGAAAATGCTGGATGAGAAATTCAAGATCTATCTTATTGCCCTGGTACCCAATATCTCAATTTGCTTACAGTGTGGACAAGCAGCTGACCGGGTCTTTCAATTGTAGGAAAAACCCCCCCGAAGATGTTATCAGCTTGATTGATTTGCAAGGAAAACTGGATCGCCAATACATCGTTGGCTTCTTTTACAGCGATAAGCCCCAGCGCGCCAATCTCCGAGAACGCTGGCCTGAAAACCCGGAGGACAACCTTGAACGTCTCCAAAATTCAGGACTCCCCTACGACCGGCAAGTGATGAAATGCCGCAATTGTGGAGGTAAATTCTACTCTATGCTCAATATCTTCTGTAGGCACTGACAATGTTATAGAAATGGGTCACAGTTCGCGCGGATGCAAACAGGAGCCTGTCGTGTTTGAGAAAACGGAAATCAAGTGCAACAACTGCGGAGAGCTCGGGCACCGGGTGCGAGATTGCACCCAGCCGCGTAAAAGCCGATTCGGTTGCCGCAACTGCGGGTACGTTTAGCTAAGTCTAACAACAGTGAGCGCTAGATACTGACCATTTCAAAGTTCTGAAGAGCATGAAGCCCGGGAATGTCCCGAGCCCCGATCTGCTGATGATGTCGAATGCCGTCGTTGCAACGAAAGTATGGTCCAAGCCGCATGAACTCTTCCCGTCAATGCGCACATGCTTACAGATTTACAGAGGGACACTTTGCCAAGGATTGCCCCAACTCCGCTCCACGGGAACCTCGCACTTGCCGTAACTGCGGGTAAGTTCATGGAACGAAACTGATTACATGATGAGACAAGTATCCATGTTCTAACAAGTATGCAGTTCTACCGAGCATATGGCTCGTGAATGTGACCAGCCGCCAAATCCTGACAATATGATCTGCCGAAACTGTGATGGAAGTAAGTTTATCAGTTGGCCGGCAGGTGCTTGAAATGAGTATTTTGAAACTAACAATCACGCTTCACAGAGGGCCATGCTGCTCGGGATTGCCCCAGCCCAAAAACTGGAGCAAAGTCAAGTGCAACCGATGTGGCAACAGTAAGTCCATATTTCTATGATTGGAGATGGTGTGGAGGCCTAACTAATGATATGTAGTGGGTCACACTGTTCGACGATGCCCTGAGCCTGAGCCTGAAGACAATGAAGCTCCTGATAGCCATGGAAAGGAAGGCGAGTCTCGCGAAGACTATCAAGCTCCTGACAACCATGGATACGGCGAGCCTCAGGAATACAACAATGGAGGAGGATACGACGAAGAGGGGGGCCGCTGGTGATTCAAAGATGACCTGGGCTATTTATTGGCTTGATAGGAGGGCTTTGATCTGGGTAGGGGAGAGGACTGCATTGTTTTTCAATACTCGGATGTCATAGCCGGTTGGCTAATCACCAATGGCGTATGTATCTAAGTGATCGGTTATCGCATGTTCTATTCGTGAACAGATTGGCTTTCCTTCGGGCCAAGCTCTGGAGAACGACCTTCTCTGGTGGAAAAGCGCTTTTATTTTCTTTTTCAGATAACGAGACCAAGCTAACTGGTTGAGAATCTAATGATATTCAATTATCTTTAACCATCATTATTCGCTTTGGCTTCAGTTAACCAAAGACTCTAATCTTGCCAGTTCAACCTATAGTTTGATTAAGAATATGCACCTAGTCTAAGAAATTATTGGTGGAAAGCACTCGTTCTGGGGATTCGGCCAATGAGAGATCCGGAGGGGTCTGACCGAGAACAGGGAGGGTTCAAGCTCTTACCTTCAGGATTCCCAGTGCACTAAATATGTGAGCAACCAGAAATTTATCGGATTGAGATAAACCGACGCCCAATTTCTTGGCTTCATAGCTGGTGTTACAGTGACCAATTGAACCTGTGGATCGGTCGGTGAAGCAGGACAGATCGTGGTTGCATTGCTGCCCACCCGAAAGGTCGACGATGACGGCTCGACAGTAGACGAACACCAATACGATACAAAAATGCTTTGGATCATCCTGGCCAAGATCCAACGGGATAATTGTGACTTACCGAGCAGTAATCCTCCCCTGTCCCAGCATCGGCATCCTTAAACTCGGGATGGAAGTCCATTCGACTTCGGGTTTGCCGATGCCACGGCAAATAGACCGTTTCAACTTTTTTCAAAGAATCCTTGGACATAATCCTGTGATTCTTAGCGTCCACTAGCAATACGGCGATATGCTTGGAATAGGTGCTCAATGACCTCATTACTACGGGTGTCGTTCTCTTTCTCGTCTCGGATTGAGCATATCTTTCAGATATTATACGTATGCTTCTGGAACATGATGTATTTCGGAATGGATGTCTGTAATAATGCTGTATCCTGCCCAGGTGGTCCAAGCGATGCCGAATCCGGTGTGAGTAATGAAGAATCGATGTGTTTGATTGGTGCTGAGAAATAACACTGTCCCTAGAGGAATCCATTCATGTGTGGGTGATTGTGGGTGTATGCACGTAGGCTATGAGATCGAAAAAGGCGCGATAGCCTAGCGGTAGGGAAATGATTCCCTTCCGCGTAAGATATGCCGAGCATTTTATTACGATATTGTGCAAGTAGGTAGGGCTGAGATGTTTCCTTTGAATAATCTTGTGCATCCGTCTATGTAAGAGCAATTAGACTTTACCTAGTGGTTGTGGCGTTGACATGATTCGTGCCGGAGCTCTAATTTTGTATGTACAACGAGTATGTACTCTCTCCCGGGGACGGTCAGGAACGCGAGGGCCAAACTCTGTCCCTGACTGTTCCGAGGACGGAAGAATCAACCTGTTGATCGCGTCCCGCCGTGGGCTCTCCAAGACAATCGCCGTCAGGTCTTTGCAGCCGGGTTCCACTGCAAAACGGAGTGTCCCGATCGGGTATGCATTGGCGCGGCTCTGGACTTGTACACAGGAAATGTGAGCTCGAAGCTAGATTCCTTTTTTGGTTCGTTGCTTACAACCTGGTTGAATTGAATCACATCGAATTGATCGGTACCAGATCACAACTTCTTTTTTTATCCAAGGAATGTGTTTCAGGAAAGCATTATTGAAGGCTGGTGGCATTGAAAGCGGGCAGACCGGGCAGGTAGTCGGCTTATCCCAAAAGGGAAACCCGAAGGAACCCCAGATTCCGATTCGGTCTAAACCGACCTCGGGGAAGCCGGGCCGGGGTAGGGAATTCAGAGTAACTAGTACTAGCATATTCACACTGTTTGATTGAAGAGTTCAAGGAACTAAGCTATCATCTATTCGGAGAAGCAGAGAACTAAAATATAATATACTCGTATCTTCAATACCTAGTGCTCTAGCATCCAGACAGAATCTTGCATTGAAATTTACCATGAAACGGGTAAGGTGAGCAATGATGTCATGCGTGCTACCGTCCCGGCGATCGCAACTTGGTTGGAGAGGCTTCTTTGAGGGCTCTTTTCCCCTGTTCTGTGGATTTACCTTCCGGGCTCGGGAGTACCTAACCATCCCGTCAACATTGATGCCTTCCCTTAATTTCTCGGAGCCGACCTGGTCACTCCTACGTACGATTTGATTATTCCTGCCAGGGTTGGTGAGGGTTTCTCTTAGCAATTTGTCCGGAGGCCAGCAGTGTCCGAGCCCACCCGAGCCATGTAATTGATGAATCGGGCGGGGAAAAGCATTCGTCAAGCCTCGGGGGCCAAGCCACGGCCTTCGCTCTGGTGCGCCGAAGCCGATAATATGGTTCGTCGGGGCGGGTTGATCCCTGAAAATACCCCTGCTCGGTCCCCGACTTGGCACGGCAGGCCGAATATCATTTGACTTTCCAGTATGAGCGTAGAATATACACCAGTATTGCATATGTAGACTATCTCTCTAACAGGGAGTGAAATTTTCCATATTGAGTCCCAATTTCCTCACTCGGAACCTCCGCAGGTCGCGGAGAAAAAAAAAATTGGGGAGGAATCCGGGGAGGGTCCATCGGACCAAAACGCACCACTGCAGTCCACAATTCCAACCCACTTTTCCCATCACGACACCCACGCGAGCCACGAGGGGGGCCTTGTATCGTTCATGCGGTCATACACTCGATGTCTTCTCTGAAAGCAGCCTCGTCCGACTGCAGTGTACGGTAACCGGTTGGTACGGCCCGCGAATTGTGCCGGGCAGATACCGAAGTCAAGCAACGAAGACACTCACCCGACCGACCTCCCCCGGTGGGACCTGTGCCGAAAATGACCAACGACTGATGCCGATGACTATTTCTCATTCGATCTTCTCCCCAGAGCGGAGTCTTACTCCCTCATCTATGGAGGAGAAGTGAGGAAGTGGAGTCCCAGAGGCAGTCTCCCCCCAATCCGGCGGGAGTGTATCGCGCTCCTGATGTGACCCTGTTTGTCCCAAATCCTTTGGGCTAGATTTCGGTTTCGATTCTGACCGTTTTACCGGACCTTGAATCATGCCAGTTGTGGACCCTTTCCCCCTCAGTGACGATGAGCGCCGCCTGTTGGCAAGGAGTTCATAAACCCCGTCTGCTTCCCCAGATCTTTTTGAGTCTTTTTTACTTCTCCTCATCCTCCAACTCTTCCTATTTCCATTTCCGTCCACAAGCTTGGGCACTCTTTTGGAGTTCTTCGGCTTTCTCGATTGGTATAAGGGCACGCCTGGCACATTGATTGTATACAGCCTGTCCTTCTATCTCTTACTGTGTGATTCAATCGAAATCCGTCACCATGAAGCCTTACTTCGGACTTCGGGGTACATCCCTGAATATCATGATCAGTATAATCGCTGGTCTTGATTTCTTGTATGTTCCATTCACTTTCTAGTTCATCCCAGGAACCTTGCCATACTAATACTTGCCAGGCTCTTCGGTTATGACCAAGGTGTCATGGGAGGTCTCTTGACCTTGAATTCATTCGTCACTACATTCCCCCAAATTGATACCACAAAGGCCGGAGAAATGGGTCTCTCTGCTGCAGAGAAGAGCACCCGCTCCACCGTTCAAGGTAGGTCGACTCGACTCTTTACCCCCCCCACACAATCTTGCGTCTTGACGCCATATACTGACCGAACCAGGTATCACAACTGCTTCTTACAACCTGGGATGCTTTTGCGGTGCCATATTTTGTATCTGGATTGGAAACTACCTTGGACGCCGCAAGACCATCTTTTTCGGTTCAATCATCATGGTCGTCGGTGCTTCATTACAGGCTTGCGCGTACAGCCTTCCACACTTGATCGTTGGCCGCATTGTGACCGGTATCGGTAACGGCATGAACACTTCTACCGTCCGTAAGTTGCATTCCAAAGCGTCACTACTTATCCAACAGATATTGACGTTTTTATTATAGCTACTTGGCAGTCCGAATGCAGCAAGTCTCACCACCGTGGCCAGCTGGTCATGCTGGAAGGCTCTCTGATTGCTGGTGGTATCACCATCAGTTACTGGATGGATCTCGGGTTCTCTTTCCTCGACCCTAGCTCCGTCGCCTGGCGCTTCCCTATCGCCTTCCAGAACGTGTTTGCTTTGATTATCTTGTTCTGTGTGATGCCTTTGCCCGAGTCCCCCCCGCTGGTTGGTTCTCAAGGGCCGTGAGGAAGAGGCAATCGTGGTTCTGGGAGCTATTTTGGATCTTCCAGAGGATGACCCTTACGTCCACTCTGAATTTGCCGCCATCAAGGATGCCGTCCTGGTTTCTTCTTCGGTCAGCTTCCGCGACCTACTGACCATGGACGAGGACCGCCACCTCCACCGTACTATCCTTGCCTACGTCAACCAGATGTTCCAGCAGATTTCCGGTATTAATCTCATCACCTATTATGCCGCCACTATCTACGAGAAGTCAATCGGAATGAGTGGCTTGATGTCTCGCATTCTGGCCGCCTGCAATGGAACAGAATATTTCCTTGCCTCTTTGGTTCCTATCTTCATCATTGAGAAGGTTGGCCGGCGGTCTTTGATGCTGGTTGGTGCCGCTGGAATGTCAATATCCATGGCTGTATTGGCCATCACCACCAGCTTCGAAGGAAATGCCCAAGCGGGTATTGCGGCAGCTGTATTCTTGTTCGTCTTCAACACCTTCTTTGCCTGGGGCTGGTTGGGTATGACTTGGCTTTACCCTGCTGAGATTGTTCCTCTGCGCATTCGTGCTCCCGCCAATGCCCTGGCTACTTCAAGTAACTGGATATTTAACTTCATGGTTGTGATGGTTACCCCTGTCGCTTTCGACTCTATTGGATATAAGACATATATCATCTTCGCCGTCATCAACGCTTTCATCTTCCCGGTTGTTTACTTCTTCTATCCCGAGA